TGTTCATTTTAGTCCCGCCCATACAGATTTATCAGGTATCTATAATGCCCAATGAAACGATTTTCAAAAATTTGAATTTTGAAAAAAAAAATCGCAACTTTTTGAGTGTCCATTTTACCCCGAATGTCCATATTACCTCACACCCCTCTAATTTTTTCAAAAACCAAAGAATTTTACTAGAATTTTCTCGAAAACCTAAAAATTTTCTCGAACGTGCTCGGACACCGTAGAATTTCCTCGAATTTGGTTTGAAAACTCTAAATATCCATATAATTTTTTCAAAAACTGGAGAATTTTCCAGAATTTGCTCAAAAACCGAAGAATTCTCTCGAAAATCGGAAATATTTCTCGAAAACTTCATGGGAAACATGAGAACATCTACCGGAAAAAATAAACACGAAGAGAATAAGAAACAAAAATTGCGGGGCCCTTTCCAAGCCCCACTTTTATATGTCACCCTGGTTTCTTGCCATTCCCGCAGTTACCGACATAGCTATGGTTCGGATAAAGCTTCTTGCTTTGACCGCAAAGTGGGGGGGCGTAAAATCGCCACTCGAGAAAAAAATCCCTCCATGCGGGCCTTAATAAGAGAATTTAAACGAGGTTTTACGGACAGTGTGATGAAATAGTATATTTTGTCATTTCGGCCGTAAGGCCGTCATGGCAAAAAATAATTGTTCGTCATACGCCCAAAAAAAATTTTTTTTTGGTCGTATGACGAACAATATTTTTTGTCATGACGGCCGTAGGCAGAGATTCACGGACGCGGAGTGTCCAAGGGATTGCAATTGCGATTTTTAATCTTTCGGAAACTGTCGAACGGAAGTCTAGACACCGAGAATTATCGGAGAAGTGTTAGGAAAACATTCTCCGATGAAGTTCGGTCGATGGACGCCCGTATCGACCAAGGTTTTCCATGGTTTCCCTTGGTCACCTTGGCTCCGCTTCGCTCCGCGTCCGTAAAACGCTGCCTTACGGCCGGAATGACAAAAAGGTCTATTGAATGTCTGTTTGCAGTTGTATAGCCAGCATTTCTTGGTCTCCTTCGCCCCGAAGTGTATATACGGATCACCATTTGATTTTCAGAACGATGTTCTTGTGAGTCTCATTGCAAAGTAACCCTTGCTGTGGCTGCAGGTGCATCCACCAGGCGTATCTCCTACCCGCCTTCATTTTCATACAGCTGCCGGACACCCCCGGTTTTCAACCATTGTCAGTTTCAACCGACCAATCGCGTACTAGTGCGTTATTTTTTCTTCAATCTATTGAATATGATCAAGATGTATGGAAAATGCATTTTTTAATCAATTTAAAGGCCGGAAACCCTCTGCAATAAGATTCTATTCTGAGAATTCCGCGAAATATCAATCAGGAATAATGACTCAATATGTGAACATCCGCATGAAAAGGGACCACTTTGTCGATATGGAGTTATGTGTACTCTTATAAAATTGATAACATTCCGCACATTTTAAGGCCAAAATGATCCTCATGGGATCAAGAATGACGTCAGTAAAGAAGATGAAAGAAACAATTTAACAGTGATATAAATGAGAGTTGTTGAGCGGCAAAACATGAATATCTCGGAAACTAGAATCGACAAAGCGGTCCCTTTTCATGCAAGTCCACATATATTTAAGGAAAATATCATATTTGAAATTTCCGCAGGAAACTGTCACGCAATACATGAATAAATATTCAAGGACACCGGACGTCGAGAGATCGATTTCGATCTATTTTTATCAGTATCCACGCCTTTGGAAACCTTTGCGCTCTCTATAATTGGCTAAAAATTACATTTTTACCATCTCTGAATATTACGGACTTGAGTAAGAAAAAAAATAGACACTAGTACCGTGTGGTGGCACCGGTTTTCGAATCGTTAAGGGGCACTCACCCGTCAATATCGGATTATCCGGGTTTTTCCCATCAAATGTGAAATATTAACAACTTTTAGAAGTCAATTTAGATGTTTTGTTGACAGAAAGACATGTGATTTTGATTGAAAAAGTTGGGAATTAGATGAATATTCGGAAAATTAAATAAATGCCCCGAAATCAGATTTTGGATGTCCAAAACCGACTCATCCGGTTACAGGTCTAAATAACACAGTAGAATAATAATATGGGTCAAAGTCAACACAGAGAAGAAAAACATATTGGGGTCTTTTTGGGATCCTATGGTAGCCACGTCCTCGTCGTGGATCCTGGGTAACGCCAAGAGCTGGAAGGGCGTGAAATTTAATTACCTCACCGTGCTCGTGAATTCATAGTTAACTATATTTAATTTAATTTTAAAAATTCATTGCCTTTGGACGAAAGGTGGTGAAAATGAGAGGTCCCGGTCATCTACCTGGTCATCCATATCATTATATGTGGCTTACCAAAGAGCTTAAATTCACAAACTGGCAACTTAGTCCCGATTTGGTGGGAAATGTGGGGACCCATTGGGAACTAGTGGGACTGTGTTGAATTGTCCTTCTGTTATATTGTCCGTGTGATAATTAGACATATTACCGAGTCACCCCAGTTTTCGAATAAAGAGAATGAAAGGACTTTGGGCGAAGAAAATTTAAGAAATGGCTTATGAAAATCATATCCATAGTAATTTTATTGTTATGTCAACAGTAAAAATGTGACTAAAGACGAGCGAATGAGCTCCTTTCAACTGTTTCCTTTTCACCCCATTCTTTTTCGCCACAACGTTGAAACTTTTCTTCTTAGCTCGAGTCAATTCTTTTTTTTTTGAGTGTCTCCTTCAAATCTTTGTCTTTTTTGATTGGATGAGCTCATTTCGCAGCCCCCTGTTGTTGAATTTTCCACTTATGTTTATTCTGGTCAGGTACAAAATCGGTTGTAAGACTAAAAAGAATACATGCGTCAAGTCCTTCAACCCCGTATTCTGTGAACCTAAATCTCGAATGCTGTGTTTCTTATAGATTTTTTTTTTTTTTCATTTTGTTTCAATCTGTATTGATTCAAAAATTATCCCTGAAACCGGCGACGGTGGCCGACGCCGTTAAATCGCTTTAAATTAATCCACTTAAAACTTAAAAATGCCGAACCCAAATCAGATTAATCCCGTTTCGGACAATAGTAATGATCAAGGTCAATTTATATTAAATGAAATAAAAATCGCATCCATAAATGTCAATTCTATCGTCAGAAATCAAAGAAGATTCTTTCTTCAAAAGTTTATCGAAGATAACGATATTGATATTGTACTAGTGGGTGAAACAAAATTAAATCAGAATCACAAAGTTAATTTTGACAAATATAACTTTGCCCGAAACGACAGAAACAATTCAATATTCTCGGGTGGTACGGGAATCATTATTAAAAAAGAAATTCAATATTCAGTAGTCAATTATCCAAGTTCAATTAATAACCGAATCTTAGAATTTACTATCATAAAAATTGTAACAACCACCAATAAACCGATATTTTTTATCAGCGTGTATGCCACGAATGCAATAAATACAAATCAAGTCTTCCTGGACGAACTTGACTCCCTGTTCAGAGAACTTAAGTTGGACAATATTAACAACTTCTATGTTCTCCTTGGTGATCGTATCCCGTTTATGGAGACAGAGATAGTAACGATCGTGGCCGTCACTTGCGTTATTGGGAATTAGCAAATGATCAAAGGTTTAAAATTAATCTAATCCCTCCCGACGACTTTACATACAACAGATCTCAGACTTCTCTGGACTTGGCCCTCATAGACACAAGATTGAGCGTGAGTAATTTAAATAATGATAAAATTCAAACTAAAATCTACGATAGCGACCAGAAAGCACTCATCGCTGTACTTGAACTCAGTGATGATTTAATCATCGATCAGCCTGAATTACAAGAAAAAACATTTTATATCTACAAAAATACCAATTGGGATTCTTATAGCAAATATCTGAACGATAATTACGAACTTAGCATACCAGATAACAGGAATCTCATTCCTGAAGAAATTGAGAATTACATTAAGAATTTCACTGATTATATCTTTAATTCCATCCAAAATCAAATTCCGAGAGGAAAAGCCTCGGGAAATATCACCAAATACACAAATAAAAAAATCATTAAGCTACATAAAATCAAAAGCAAATTATTAACAGCTTATCATACCTGTATTAAAAATGACCCAAATCAGCGGAACCCCCAAACTTGTAATATAAGACCACTTCTCAATAAATGCAAAAATAAATTAGACAACGAATTCAATCTAGCAGTCGAAAAATACTGGCACAACACTTACAAGAAAATCAACTTCAGAGACACTAAAAAATTTGTGCCAATGATTAACAACATCTTCCGTCCAAAAAAAAAAAACAAATTATTAAAGAATTGAAAATTAACGCCAATAACAATACCTTACTTAATGAAGCTAACTGCTCTATAGACAAAGCCCCAATTCATAACAATGAGTTTATCATCAATGACGAGACTGATATCATAAATGTCATAGGCGCTCATTATCAAAGAGTTAACTCCCCACGTTATCTAAATGAAAACTCCAGGCTAAAAGAACTGGTCGATACCAAAATTGAAGATTTCAAAATCAAAATGACATCAGATCTATTAAATAACAAAACAGCAACAACCTTTGATCGAGATAAAATTTCTACAAAAGCAAATAACATTGAAAATTTTGAGAATTATTTCACATCCCCAAACTTAGTGAAACTGATATTAAAAAATTTACCAAACAAAATATCAAGTGGAATCGATAGGATTCCCCTAATAATCATCAAACATTTTCTGGATAAGATGATTATTGATCTCACTAAAATAATCAATAACCCTCTCATTTTATGTCTGTGCCTTCGGCTTGACCCTTCGGAGATTACCTTGCGTATCCTAACCATGCAAAATGCCCAAAGTGTCAGAAAATGGCTCCATCTGTGAGGGAATAGGGGAACCTGGATCCGAGTTTCAAGTGCGGCTAGTGACGGATGGCGTCATCCACTCAGTACATTTTCGTTTCCTAAGCGTGCATATGTGCAAAAACGTTGTTGTAACGTTCGTTAGAAAATTTACGCACGATAAGTGCGTTAATTCCATCAAAAGCAAAGGCTCAAAGGTAGGTTATTCTCTTTGTCCTTTTTTCCTGTTCTTTTTGTTTTCTAGTAGGGATTAGGGTACGAGACAGCGAGAATTCAGCGAATTTCGCCTAGCAGTACCGACCGCCATTTTAGGTAACATTTGGATCGGTAGCTAAACCGAACGTTCAGCAACGGGCAAGTCGCTGGTTTCACCTCGACCCCTGTTGCAACTCGCTGGCATCCCCTCGAGTAGAATGAACGATTAGCATTAGGGAAGTCGCTGGTTTCACCTCGACCCCTCTTGCAGCTCGCTGGCATTCCCTCGAGCAAACATGAACGTTCAACATCTGGGAGGCCGCTGGCTTTTCACCTCAGTTTTTTATGGCTCGCAGGCACCCCCTCGAGCAAGGACGATTGATAGCTGAGGCATCACATACATATCAAATATAATTTACATTGGCACAAAGTCACGCCCGGAACCGTTGGAACGCTAGTTTCACCACGTTCCCTAACCTATAAATGTGTTTGGTTCGCGAACTTCGTCTCGAACTCACATGCTAGGTTGCAGGGGGCCCCTATGGCCCCTTTTCTAACCTTGCCTCTGCTCGTAGATAACTCTCGATCATTGGCCTGAGTTTTGTGTTTTTCAGAATGGATTCAATTCCAGAGATTACGGTGAAGGAGTTGCTGGGCGAAGCTGCGGAGACAGAGGAGGAGGATGCGGTGCTGGACCGGTTAAAATCGCTAGCTATTTCTACTCTCCCTGAGAGATGGCTGGGTATGAAGATACCCATCCTTTCCATATCGGATTTGTTTGGAGAGGTCAAGAAAGTTCCGAACGAAGTTCTTCCCAAGGTCAAATTCGCACTCCCGACGGTGGAGTTGGCGAGGGGTTTCGACCCGGAATGCTCGTCCCTCAGTGAGGAAGCATACGATAATATAAAGCTCTGGATGCTGGGTTGGCCCTTCGGTAGGGCATTAGTCACGAGTCCTCCTACCTTGATCAATCAAATACGGGGATCCGCATCAGAGGCACAGTCCTTCCTTAAGCTGATAAAACCAGTGAATCATCTGTTTATTTCTCGTCCTGAAGCGGACCAAATACTTCAGGGGAATAATAGGAAGGAGAATGAAAAGATTGACGAGGATCTCAAGGACGAGGGTATGCCAGAACACAAGCGGGCGCGTCGTAGCTCGTTTGAGTCGCAGGTGTTCTCATTGATCAGAGATCTGAGTGATAAGGTCGAGAAAATCCAGGACTCGGTGGGCCACACTTGTCATAAGGCTGGAAGTTCCGGATCAGAGGTTTGTTATTCTGATGGAGAAGAGTCTTGGTTCTCAGAGAATGGTCAGGAGGCATCCCAGGGGAGATCCAGTCCTACTACTTTTATGGATTTAGATCTATGCCTGGCTCCTCAAGTGAAGGAGTGTGAACCCCTAATCCCAGCTCCAGATCCAGAAATTAAAGCGCAGGGAATCGCTTGTCAGAAGCTGGGCTCCTTGTCTTGGGATAAGATAAGATACAAAGACGTCCAAAAGAAGCTACAGGCTTCCCCAGTGTTCGACAGTCTCAAAGTGAATAGCCAGTTGGGTCTATTTGCCCCGAAATCTTACAGCTCCTCTGTCCTGGCCAGAGCGGATGCTATGGCGGGTACGTTCACTCATGGTCTGCTCCTACAGGGACAGAAGCTATCGTCGGCTGTTAAATCCTTGGTGACGAATCATCCTCAGATGATAGAGGACATCAAGGAGGCGCTCCTTGGGGAGTCATCAGTAAAATCAGTCTCGGATGACTTGCTGCACTTCGCTTGTGCTCGTAGGGCGGAGATCATTGGGTTGAGGAGAGGTTTCTTTAAACCTGGNAGCTATCGTCGGCTGTTAAATCCTTGGTGACGAATCATCCTCAGATGATAGAGGACATCAAGGAGGCGTTCCTTGGGGAGTCATCAGTAAAATCAGTCTCGGATGACTTGCTGCACTTTGCTTGTGCTCGTAGAGCGGAGATCATTGGGTTGAGGAGAGGTTTCTTTAAACCTGGAAACCCTCATCAGGCTCTGAAACTTTCAGAGATTCCACCATCAGAGTCGCACCTTTTCGAAGAGAAAAATCTGTTGGAGTTCTTAAATCAACAGGGCGGTGTGGAGAAGGTCTTTTTTCGCAAGAAAGCGCCCTTTCATGTCAGAGAGCCCGGTGATAATCGGTCGAAGTCCCAACCAATGGCCAAAAGCCAACCTCAGCCGCGCACTTCAAAGCAATCCAACAGATTCTCATCCAACCGCTCTCGGAAAGCGCCTCCCCACTCTAAAGATGAGAACTACGAACCAAGATCTTCGAAGAACTCCTCAAGAACTCGAGGTGAACCTTCGAAGAAGAAGCCTCGAAGTCTTCAAAGAGCATGACTATCCGTTCGAAGGAGGTCAGCTCAACAGGTTCATTCCCCAGTGGGAAAAATTGGACGCTCCGAAACACATCTTAAGTATTTTAAAAGGCTATACAATCCCGTTCACAAAGAAACCTCCAACGATTCCGCTCACCAGCGCGAACGTAAGGAAATATTCAACCAAGGAATCCCCGCAAATGTCCAAAGAAATGGAGGAGATGCTACTCCAGAAGGTGATCGAGAAGGCGAGTTGGGAAACAGGTTTCATATCTCCAATGTTTTTGCTACCAAAGTCGGATGGAAAATGTCGACAGATCTTCAATCTTNGAAATGGAGGAGATGCTACTCCAGAAGGTGATCGAGAAGGCGAGTTGGGAAACAGGTTTCATATCTCCAATGTTTTTGCTACCAAAGTCGGATGGAAAATTTCGACAGATCTTCAATCTTGGAGCTCTAAACGAGTATGTTCATCCTCCAAAATTCCGGCTGATCAGCCAGCGCAAGGTGCCTCTGTTTCTCCAAGCAGGCGACTTCTTGGCGAAGATAGACCTCTCTCAAGCATATCTACATGTGCCAATCGTGGAAAGCCACCGCAGATATCTCTGTCTGTCCTACAAAAACCAGTTGTACAACGTAACCTGCTTGCCGTTCGGGCTGTCGACAGCCCCGGTAGCCTTTTCAAGGATTACCAATTGGATAGCGGGAGTTCTCCGTCAGAAGGGAATCCGAGTTCTAGTTTATCTAGACGACTTCCTCTTCGCTCATCAGGACGCCGAGACGTTGCGAGATCAGATCGAATTTGTGACGGGCCTTCTTCACTCCTTGGGCTGGGTGATAAACTCCCAGAAGTCTATGATCTCCCCGGCTCACAGGATCGAGTTCCTGGGGATCTGGTGGGATACCGAGCGCAACGAGATGGCTCTCCCCGAAGACAAGAAGTCTCGGATTCTTCGACTCTTGGAGAGGCTTTTGAGCTCGGGAATTTGGACGTGGGAATTGGCGAGTTCACTCCTAGGGATGTTGAACTTCGCAGCGATTGTGACACCCCTGGGAAGACTGTTCTCCCGTCAACTCCAGCGGGGCTGTCGCCGCCTTTCAAAGATCACCCCCAAGAAGGAGGCCCCTCTTCTTTTCTGGAGCAGCCAGGACTGCTCATGGTGGAAAGAAAATATTCATCAGACGAGTCCAATTTTCCGAGAAGAACCCGATATCTTCCTAACGACAGATGCTTCCCAATCCGGCTGGGGTCTTCAACTGGAAAGTTTTCATCAGGCGGGGAAGTGATCCCCGGATCAGTTAGAGTGGCACATAAACCGCAAGGAGCTCTTCACGGTCTTGCTGGCGGTTCAGACTTTCAAAGACTATCTGAGAAACCGGTCAGTCATGTTGCAGGCGGACAGCAAGACAGCTGTCGCTTACATCAGGAATCAAGGGGGAACACGTTCGCAAACGCTCTTGAGTCTAGTCAAGGAGCTTCTGATTCTTTTGAGTCAGTACAGAATTCATCTGGTCCCATTCTTTCTGCCGGGGATACTCAACACAGTGGCCGACAGACTCTCAAGAGACCTCCCACTCCCGGACTGGCATCTGAGCCCCGAGATCCTACAAAAGGTCTTCGAGAAGTGGGGGTCGCCACAGATCGATTTATTTGCAACAGCTCGCTCGAAGATNACAAGACCGCTATCGCTGCCTAAAGGAGGTTAGGCGGTGTTTGAGGGGAATTTGAGAGTGAATTTCTGTGGTTCCCGGTAGCTTAGTCGGTAAGAGTGCCCGGCGCGTATCTGGGAGACCCGGGTTCGATTCCCGGCTGGGTGAAGCGGAAA